AATCAGCCCGACACACTACACATGTGCTCTGATCCCTACATAGTCAGCTGACTTACAAGGGGTACATGCAGATTTGATTGTAAACCTACACTCATTCATTCATTCATTCTCCTTCAGCTGAGTCCCTTCATTCATCAGGGGTCGCCACAGCGGAATGAACCACCAACTATTCCAGCATATACTTTACAAAGCGGATGCCCTTCCAGCTGCAACCCAGTACTGGGAAACACCCATACACTCATTCTCACACACACTCATACACTTCGGCCAGTGTAGTTGGTCAGTTCCCCTATAGCGCATGTGTTTGGACTGTGGGGGAAACCGGAGCACCCGGAGGAAACCCACACCAACACGAGGAGAACATGCAAACTCCACACAGAAACACCAACTGACCCAGCCGAGACTCAAACCAGAGACCTTCCTGCTGTGAGGAGACAGTGCTGCCTAATTTACAGTTATGTTTACAGGTATTTCTCATGTTTCTAAAGCTGATCAGGGGTCAGTTGTTCAGGGTGTAGTGCAGAGTGTGTCAGACAGGGGGTGCTGTTGTACAGTCTCTCACACACACACACACACACACACACACTGCAGCTCTGGCAGCACGACTCTGTTTCAGCCTCTGTCAGGAGAAATTACTGTTTACACCTGTGAGGAGAGACGACCTGAGAGAGTCCTGCAGCGCGCTCACACACACACACACACATTCATATACATACACACATGTATATAAATACACACATGTTCACTGATACAATCTCTCACACAAACACTCGCACTCTATCACACACACACTCAAACACAGACAGAACTCTCTTTATCACACACACACTCTGAACACACACACACACACACACACTGAACACACACATACACATTCACTGATACACACACACACTCTCTTTCTCTCTCACACACACACACTAATCACACTCTCTCTCACACACACACTCAACACACACTCTCTCACACTAAACACATTCTATCTCACACACACACTCAACACACACACACACACACACACACACACTAAACACACACTCTCACACACTAAACACATTCTATCTCACACACACACTCAACACACACACACACACACACACTAAACACACACTCTCACACACACACACACACACACACACACACACACACAC